GTGGCCAATGTTGATGTAACTTTCTAATCCAAAACTACTATTTTTTAATACTGGTACACTTTGCCCCGCATAGACATTAAATTAAACACGTTTTAAAAGCTTATAAAAAAATCCTAACAATAATAGTTGGCATATATTATACATTAAACAACGTGCTTAGACTAAAAACTAGATGGAAACACATTTATTTGCCAAGTAATTGTGAGTTTAAGTTAACACGTTTGTTAGATTTTGGTTCTAAGCTCTGATAAACAATCCCCTTCTATGGTAAAATATTAACTAGTTTTTTTGGTGCCGCTTCATTGATATCTATCAAAATTTGATTTAAAAAACTATGTATTTTTCATGAATAATTTGTAACCAATAATTTTGTGTAATATATTTTAGATTATGAATAATTATTGTATAATCAAAGAACCTACCTCTACTATCAAAAACTCTCGTTTCTCTTTTTTTTTCTTGTTTCGTTAGTTTTGTAATAATATTTTTGTATCTGACGTATTTATTACTTCAGTTGTAATTCAATCTATTAATGTTCCTAGAACGTTTGGAAAAAGTCGCAAAGTTGCAAATTTTCACAAACAGAAATGGAAAATAATGGGCAATTACCAGTCTCTTTATACACCTGAACTCACTCTACGCGACTTTTTTCATACAATTTCCGAAAACCGATTCAATAACGAAAGGACACGATTCGCTAACCAGTATATCATTAAACTTAGAGCAGGTGTGTCGAGAGACACGTTAGTTCGTAGAAATTATTACGCGATTTTCAAATATCGCCTCTTGCGAAATGAAGCCATCAACGTTGACCTACTTTAACGTTGGAGGATCTCAAAAGATATGGCTTGGCTCGAAGTTGCAACTGGAACTAAAAGTTAAATACGTCCGATAAAAGTTGCGACACAAAGTTTTTCTAATATTGGTACGTTTGGTTCTTGAACTCACTTTTAAAGTTATATAGTTTTTCTGTATATTACACTGATAAAACAAGCTATATCGCGTAGCAGAAGGCAGTGAAATAATTTTTTATTATATCACTACATATATTTATCTCTATAATTTATTCTAGATACGGAGTGGCACTGGTAGGAGTGCGTCCAGCTCAACTGCCGGAATTCTACGAAGACACGATCCTCCTCAATCCCGGCCCGCGCCACATCATGAAGAAAGACGACACCTGTTACTACATGAGCATCACCAAGGAGGAAAACTCTTCGTTCAGCGTGGCCAATCAGCAGCCCAACAATAACAACACCTCTGCTGATCCGGTGATCGTGACGGCCAAAGAAGAGGAGAAGACGACATCGATACCGATAACTTCAACGAAAGACGGTACCGCTCCTCCTCAACTCATTCTGCAAGTCCCCACGTGTGTCAGTGAGTGTTGTCGCTTGCGCATGATCGTTGATTTTTTTTATTCGTTTAAAGTTTTTTACGTTAATTTTTGTTTTGATTCAAGGACGATTATGAAACAAAATAGATTCTGTTGAAATTATATACCAAAATTTGGGTTTTTAATAATAGATCAGGACGTTGCTGTTTGGCAGGTGCAGCAAAAAAGCTTTAAGAAACTTAATAAGGAACCTAAATTAATATGAAACTTAATAAAAAAAAACCTAATAAGGAACTTAATAAGAAAATTAATAAGAAACTTGAAACTTAATAAGGAATTTAATAAGAACCTTAATAAGAAACTTAATAAGAAACTTAATAAGAAACTTAATAAGAAACTTAATAAGAAACTTAATAAGAAACTTAATAAGAAACTTAACTTAATAAGAAACTTAATAAGAAACTTAATAAGAAACTTAATAAGAAACTTAATAAGAAACTTAATAAGAAACTTAATAAGAAACTTAATTTGAAACTTAATAAGAAACTTAAACTTAATAAGAAACTTAATAAGAAACTTAATAAGAAACTTAATAAGAAACTTAATAAGAAACTTAATAAGAAACTTAATAAGAAACTTAATAAGAAACTTAATAAGAAACTTAATAAGAAACTTAATAAGAAACTTAATAAGAAACTTAATAAGAAACTTAATAAGAAACTTAATAAGAATTTTAAACTTAATATTATAATTTTAAACTTAATAAGAATTTTAAACTTAATAATAAACTGAAACTTAATAAGAAACTTAAACTTAATAACAAACTTAAAAACAAACTTAATAACAAACCTAATAACAAACTTAATAACAAACTTAATAACAAACTTAAAAACAAACTTAATAACAAACTTAATAACAAACTTAATAACAAACTTAATAACAAACTTAAAAACAAACTTAATAACAAACTTAATAACAAACTTAATAACAAACTTAATAACAAACTTAATAACAAACTTAATAACAAACTTAATAACAAACTTAATAACAAACTTAATAACAAACTTAACTTAAGAACAAACTTAATAACAAACTTAATAAGAAATTTAAACTTAATAACAAACTTAATACAAAACTTTAACTTAATAACAAATTTAAATTCAATAAGAAACTTAAACTTAATAACAAACTTAAACTTAATATCAAACTTAAACTTACCTAATAACAAACTTAAATTTAATTAGAAACGTAAACATAACACACTTATTTAAAACTGTAACTTTCTAAGAAACTTAAAAAGAAACTTAATAAGAAACTTAATGAGAAACTTAACTTAATAAGAACCTTAAACTTAATAAGAACCTTAAACTTAATAACAAAACCTAATAACAAAACTTAATAACAAAACTTAGTAACAAACTTAATAACAAACTTAAAAAGAAACTTAATAAGAAACTTAATAAAAAACCTAATAAGAAACAATTAGAAACTTATTAAGAAACTTAAGTTTCTTATTATGTTTTCCAAAGTTTCTTCTATACCCAGTAAGAAGTATCAACTTAGATATCACCTTATATACATATAACTTATCTACTATATAACGTATTCCTTACTCATTAAATTTAACCTAAAAGTAACAAGATTTGTTTACAAAAAATTCGTATTATATTTTTTTTTTTTTTCATAATCGTTCCTGTTTTAAAAATGATCTATGAAAGGATATGTCAAATAATTTTAATTAACTAAAAGAGAAATGGTAATTTTTATCATATTTAACATAAGTTTATATTATAGCAAGTATCTGAATTAGAATATTTATCGACAGCAGTTCGTTTGAAAAGATAACTTTCCGTTCTATGAAATTTATCTGCAATACTCCAAGATGAAAACAATCTAATTAAAATTTAAAATAGTGCATTTACCTTAAGTTGAATCCAATTAGTCATACCTAGCCTTAATCGCTAGTGCCTTTATCACTACGTTGCTATTTATAGTCCAGTGGTCAAGGCACTATGCGTAAAGATAGATATGACTGGTTTGATTCCAGCTCGGGGAACGTAAACTCGAAAGTATGGGAATAAATTTCATAATTTCGTAGGAAAAACTTGAAAAATCGTTTTTGAATCTGCAGTTTTTAGATCTTACTAATATTTGACTTAATTCTGAAAACATTTACTTGCCATAGATCATTTTTTCTTTTGTATTTAATTTGATATTCTTATAATTGTGTTGGTTGTATTTTTTTATCTTTGAACTAAAATGCTTTTAAGAACAACTACTGGAAACATACACAAACCTATCGGTAAGAAATACAAAACATCACATAAAGAAAAATTTAAGCTTTGCAGACTCACGTTACATTTTTTTTTAATTTGTGGTGTTGTTAATTATACAAATGAGATGATAATAATAATAATAATAATAAATAGATCATAATTAAAAAGTATTTTTTAAAGTGACTTAGTCAAGGATGAAATTGTTGTAAAATAGTTCGTTTTAGATCTGATTTGAAACCGAATTTTGATTTTATTTCGCTATTGCAAATAATATTTGATTTATTAAATACCAATTGAATTAATACGACTTTGAAAATAGTTTTTTTATAAAAATTTTGATATGTATCTGAATTTTAATTTCTAATTTTAAGGTTTTGTTGTATTGTTTTGATCTATACATTATTAACCAATAATTTTTATTTGGTTTAAATCTCAGAACAATGGAAATTATCAAATATTTCGCTTATTTTTAAGTCAGGAAAAAGGATTTAAGTTTCTTTTCTTTAGTTTAGAGTTTATTATCTTTTATTTTATTTTTTAATAATCCCTGAAGTTTACTCGTAACTTGTTCTTGTTTCTGTCACTTGTTACAGTTAGTATTTGGAATATTAACCAGGAATTTTCTGTTCTACAGTTAACGATTAAAGATCGTTATTTTTACTCTCTTAGAATAAAAGTAATATTTAACTTGACCCCTGGAATTTCCATGCCTCCATCTTAGATTTCTCCAGAACTTTTTGTCGCTGTATCAAATAGTTTTGGAACAAACCACATTAATAAAACTGGCGCCCGAGTGTTTTCGGGCCTGTCACTATTAGAATCGTTTTTTCTATGGCTGGAAAGTTAATAGTTACGTACTGCATAATATAAATAATGACAAATATCCTTGACGAAGTCACCTTAAACAAATTATCTCCAGCTCTACAGTTATTATTTAATCGGGTGGTAAAAACAGATATAAGTAATTAAAAAGTTACTAAAAAAAAATGTAACAATTAATTCTTGTTTGTGTACAATAAATATATGTTTCACATTCATTTATGCCAAATCTAAGACACCTGCAAATAATTTATTGTTTATTTTATTATTATGATAAATGATAACTAAATTTTGTAAATATAATTTTTTAAATTAAACTTTAATGTATAATATGTAGGTATTGCACTAAAAATAAAACAAAGAACAAATGGTAGGTAATAACTTCAATTCATAACTAATTCAGTCCAAGCTCATTAGTTATTTTTAATGCTAAAAATAGTATTTTTATTATTGTTTACTATTCTCATTACAAGGTAGGTCATCGGTTATTTCTTAATGTCATCATTGATCGATAAATATATAAAAGATGAAATAATATAAAAACATCAAATAATATAATGACTGTCCAGCAAGAATGGTAAATTTTTTATTCGAATAACGTGGTACACTATTAATAGAATTAGAATTCTTTTTATAAAGACTTATGTGCTGATTTATATGTACTGCCATGTTATCAAGAGATAGCCAAAAATTTGTAGCTAAAGAAAAATAATTTGTAATTCTGTTATTATAGACAATAAATGTATATTTTTGCCGATTTCTGGGTATACATAATCGAATATGCTCTTTTAAATTAAAATAAAATTAAATCTGTGCAACTTCCAGAAGTGACCTCTAACTTCGTTATTTTAAATAGAATACCCTATATTTTTTTAATTTCAGATTTATCATGAAATTCTGTAAACAATTATACCCCATTTGCTCATTTGAATTCTAGTGAATTTAATGTTATTCCATTTTTTTTCAAAATTTTTAGTCGCCAGTAGAAATTTTCTTAAAGTCGTCTATCTCAGGTAATATTTCTAACAGATACTTAAAATTTTAGCCAGAGGTAGTAGATGGAATGTACTTTCTAAAAATATTTACTTGTACATTATTTGTTGTACAGGGTGATGAAAAATTATTTTTAAAAATAAAATAGTTTAAATTTTACGCACCTACATAATATTTTTAGTTACAATTTAATTTAGATTTTTTAACTTAATATGCCATGGAAATGTACTAAATGACAATCTGTCAACAAATTGAATTGTCATATTTTTATTAATTTAAGTTATGTGTTTTTACCTTTAAAATAGGAAGAATATTTATTTATTTAATTAAAGACTACAAACGGGACCAATCCAAGTACAGTATTCACTGTAGGATAGATAAAAAAAGTTAAGCTATAAGTTAAAAGTTAATTATTCTAATTATTAAGAATGTCAAAAAAAAACATGAGAATTTCAATAAATGTTATTTAAGTACAGTTTTTCAATTTATTACAAAAATTAAAGAATTTATCATGATTATGTCAATTTAGAGATGTTACAAACTGAATTGAAGGATTTACAACACCTATGCAAGGGAGAGTTTAGATAATAGTGTTACTAAAATTAGTATAAAAAGTTTTAAAGTCTCTTATATTATAGGCTGGAACTTCAAAATTAATAAGGCTGGTAATCTCGTTGGAATTAATAAGATTGACGTATGTCTTCCAGGGAAATTAAGTTTCGCCTGACTAATGCAATAGTTTTTTCAGAAAAAATTTTATGTTACTGTAGCATATGAAGTTATTTTGAATATAGTCAGGTCTATCAATATACAGGGTGAGTCATAAGTAATGGGTCAAATTGTAACTGTAGATACGGAAGGCAAAAATAAAAATATTTTACTTAACAACAATGGGTCTGAGATCGCTCCTTTGTGATCTACAGGCTGTAAAAGTTGGAAAAAATATATATATTTTT